AACAAGCTCACAGCTATGTCACTTTGTGACGCTCCTTACTGAGGCGACACATTTTCTGGCTGTCACGCGGCGATGTGTCATTTCCGTGTGGCGCCACCGAACTACACTCTACGTCATTTCCGTGGGGTGTGACATTTGGGGATGGGAAAATATCGATGTCGATGATTTTGAAAATATCGATATTCAATCGTGTTTCGTAATGATAAGAACATTTGTGATGCAGCACGTAAATGATTCTTTCAGTACTACTATTTTTGTTACGATAGGTAAGCTTATTAAAATACTCTATTTTCCTAGGTCGTGTTCCTGGAGTAGAGGGCTAGAAAATATAACTTTTCGGTGCAAGTCAAAATAATTTAATGTAATAAAAAATGAATGCAATTTATGTAAAATGGTTTTTCATGTACTTAATCTCTAATCTTTTTTAAGTGATCAATTTTACTCGACCTTTTTCAGTAGGGATACAAATACCTACTTAATTCTATCGATACTTGCTTATTGCGTTACATCACTAGTGACATTCGGAGCACAATCGTTACTTTGATATTCATATTTGGAGATAAGAGAGGAGATTTACGCTCATCTGAACGTGCGAAGATGTATTTGCGTGTAATATTCGTGCGTGTAATGGAAGATTTTGCGGCTGATTTAATAGTTTCGCCGAGAGGATTGTTATCTTATTGAATTTGTGTAAGAATATCTGAATACGTAGTTAAGTGATTTGGAATGGGATTGGGAGTAATCTTGTTATCGTTCTTTATTGACAGTTTATGTTAGTTGATTAAACATTTACGAACGAATGATTTTGATTGGTTTTGAACTTATTTCTTATTCAATCTCATTTCACGAACACATCGTTCAGCATTACCTTCACATTATAGCAGCAGTCCATTGCTAGGAATAGTCCTTTCCAATACGCGCCATATGGTTTTTTGCATCCAGTTTTTTCCACCGACTATTTGCAAGTCTTCACTCTACCCAGTGGGAGGGATCTTACACTACGATTGCCGTAGTTACAAACTTAGCCTTAGCACTGATGGTGTCACTAATTTCTTAACGCGAATGGACTAGGTATTTGGGTTTTGTTAGTAGTCAAGCTGTAATTCCTGAGTGTGAAACCGAAACAAAGGAAGTCTTCTGGGGGCTTAGTGTGAGTTTACTGTATGACGGATTGTACAGCGCTCCTAGCGGAAACATTTAAGAACTAAAATTTTCATATATTTTTAACGCACTCACTAGTGAGGACTTTTGATGTAAACTCACACTAAGCCCTCTGATAGAAGATGACGGCTGTTAATTTAATAGACGCCAAATTGTAACATTTAAATGTAGGAATGTAAAAGAAAACAAACTTTAATTTTTATTTTTTATTTTGTTGAAACGTTCAAATAGTGGAACGGTAAAATAAACCGAATGAAGGATTGAATGAAAGGTGCGAGACTCGCTCTCTCTCTCTTCCCAACTGCCATGGCGTGCAAATGTGCTCCGCTATATTAATTGGAATAAACGGTGTTTTTCACGAAACTTAAAGCTGAAGTTTCTCTTGAGAACCCCAGCCCTACATAAATATAGCTGTCACTTAGCAGATTGCTAAAATTTAGTTATTTTTTGTTTCAGATTCCAGCAGTGAAACAGTGAAAATGCAAGTGACTTAAGTGCAGTGTTCACGATGGAGATCGCAAACTTAGTTTTGACACTTATATGTGTCATTTCATTCACATGCACGCACGCGAAAATAGGTAAGTCATTTTTTATTATTTTAAAGTTTAAACCAATCCACCAAAATACCAAAGCAACGGTACATAAACCTGACATTTAGGCTGAGTTGCAACACCTAACTTTGACCGTCACTATAACGATAACCGGTGGTTTTTCTATGGAGCTAGACAGATTTTTTACGTTTGTCAAAGTTAATGTAAGATGGTGCAACCCAGCGATATAATGTTTGGCATTTCAGCTGTATCGCTACAGCAGTCACAAGCAGACCGATTTTAACCTCGGTATAACTGTAACGGAACGCAATAAATACCAAAAATTCTCGAATATTTCAGATACATTATCACTCTACAATGCAGAGTTAAAATATGACTATGTTGTTTTCATGAATGAGTAACGTCATTAATGTGTAATATGTCTCGTAGGCATTAAATAAATTGCTCAGTAGTTAACTGCGATACACAACACCCCTCAATATAATTATTATAATTCTACTGGGACATAAAATCTGAGATAAGCAAAGGATTTTAAACTGAATATCGTCAATATTTAAGCCTTTGACTGTCGACACTGTCGAGACACTAGACACAACAGAAATTTTATTATTTTTCGAGGCTCATCGGTGAGCCGCGTGGCGTCCTACGCGTGTTAAAACTGTATTATAATACAGAGAAAAAGTATATAAAAACAAGTCAACATAAAGAGAGTTAAAAAAAACGAAAAAAAAAAAAACAAAACAGCATGATTTCATCCTTAACAATCGTGCCAATTGCGTGTCCAACGTTTCACCCCAAGATTTCTCCGTATACCTGGATTTTTATATCTGATTAAATCCGTTGCGTGTTTCAAGAAAGATTAAATTTCCCCAGGGTCGCTGTCCCTTATCCCAGTTTCAATTTGTGGTCTCCAAGGTGGACTTACTCCGAAAGTTACGTTGGTAATCTCCACAAAGACGAATAAACCCTGGTTGATGATATGAAGAAAGTAAGGAGAGTTAGCAAAGTGATTTGGCTTGTTCGAGATTTTGGGAGATAAAAGAAATGAAAGCTTTGGTCAAATAGCATGACTACATACAGGTTGACAACGTTGGAAGCAGTTGCACCATCTTACTTTAACTTTGACAAACGTTACAATCCATACAAAAAGCACCGGCTATTGTTATTGATACGGTTAAGATAAGGTGGTGCAACTCAGCCTTAAAGTTACTTCATATTGAAGCAGTATGCGTATACTGAAAAATATGGATTCAGAAATTTCATAAATGCTTCAATTGGCAAATCGGTGATTCGCAGAACATTTATTTTATGGTATAAACCATAATTGCATCAATAGAAAACAAACGGTGTCTTAGTGGAGGCCGCGTACCGGAAAACGCATCGTGGGACGTCCATCCACAAGGTGGACCGACGACATCGTAAAGGTAGTGGGAAAGCGTTGGACGCAGGCCGCTACCAACCGGGTAACATGGAAAGCATTGGGGTTGGCCTATGTTCAGCAGTGGACGTCCTACGGCTGAGATGATGATGATGATGATGGTGTCTTAGTGCAGTATAGGTGCGTAGATTAGTAGAGCAGGAATATATTACATACTATGTACACACACATCTCAATCAATAACTTGAACTAACTTCGAATCTAATAAAATAAATAAAATAGAACTAAAGCTAGAAAATAAACCAGCCCACCCCTGTAAAACACATTAACAATACAAGAAAATGCGGGCTTATCACTCACACGCGGTCATCAGTCACGCTGTCGCCTCGGCCGTTCCGCGTTCGATTCCCGGCGCGATAAGGCTTTGCGCAAACGTGCATTTGACCATAGCCACCAGTGGCTATCGTGTGCGTCCTTTGGAACCAAATTAAGGTGCTTCGCCGCCACTAGTAAGTGGCCGCTACAACTTGTAATGTAATCGATTTTTATCGAGTAGTTGTCATCTGCTTTAGGTGTGTGTGCAACGATTGATTGACAAACCATACAAAACTTGTTTAAACCACGTAAACAGCTTGTTGCCTCGGGCTTTTTACCTGCCATCTGCTTTGCACTAGAGAGAAGTCTATACTTAATATCAAACTCTTTTGTTCTTCTAATCGATGCGGGTCCAATCATAGTTTAACTTTCCGGGACAAACTTGGTCTTCACTGGTTAGGTTTTTATTAGCGGTCAAGCTGTAGATCCTGGCTACACAGGAGTTGCAGTGGTGGGAATAGCGGGACTAATTCCCTACTATACTTGTCGCTAGCCACTGGTGGCTATAGCCAGTTTTCGCGAAGCCTTACGGCTCATGTTCACTTATAAATGTCGGGAAGGCGCGTGACCTGAATACTCGCGTCTGCCTAGACTTAGACAAGACTAGCAGAGGAAATGATAAGACGCATGTGCTCTGGACAAGGATATTGCGTGGCTGACATGACAGGCCCTAAATCTTGGATCTTTCGGGTATCACGAGGCGTAGGTAATACGAGTCCCATCTCAACATAGATATTAATATGTCGTTACGTATGTCTAGTTTGAATTGTATTTTACGAGTATACGGGTTAGAGTCAATATTTAGGCTTGTGGATGTGATTTCGAATCATCTTTGTCTTATTCTGCATAAAAAAAATCTCAAAAACCGTGGAGAGTTGTAACAGAATAGAGTTTTAAGAAAGTCAATTTCTCTGAATCTATAACAATTTATTGAGCATGCATCTTCGTGAATTCGTTGCTCTTTTGACACTTCACAGTTTGCGTGAAATTGACAGTTGGCCGTTTAAGATGTAGAGAAATTGGCTTTTGTCACAACTTACCTTTATTACTTTTCACCTCTGTTACAACTCACCAATATTGCAACTCACCTCTGTAACAACTTACCTCTGTTACAACCAGCGTTGCCAGACGTCCCGATTTTGGCGGGACGTCCCGATTTTTAAATCAAATTTAAATGTCCCGCGCGGGACAGGCTCGGTCCCGCTTTTCGGAGAGAGACACTCACTTCGCCAGTCTATTGTTTGAAACGCCATATTATTCTAAAGAATAAAACTTTTTTAATTTCGATTTTTATTTTTTTTTTTGTCTTTTTTTATTCTAAAGACGAATTTAACGATAAAGTAAATCTGATTTCAAATATTATTTTTTTGTTAAAATACATTTTCAATGGCTACTTTTGCTATCTATTGTCACGTAAACGTAATTTTAAGTCAAATAAAAAGATAAATATTTGACAACCTTTGATTATATACGTTTTTTTACTATGTCCCGCTTCTGACGGAAGAATCCCGCTATTTTCACTCAAAAAGTACCAAAGTCCCGACTTGGCGAAAAAAAAAACTGGCAACGCTGGTTACAACTCACTTCGGTCTCCCATACGGAACCCTGAGGCCTGTTAAAAATTAAATATTTGCCACCGCATTCCAAGCTAGGTTCTCTATTAGGGTTATTCCCACTTCCAGCCTGTGAAGTGGATCGTGCCTCGAATACCAATGGGGTAGGCTCACACATTAAACGGCACCTGTGAAAACGATATTATTGTACAAAAACCGATTGGGAGGGACGTGATCGTGTGACACTATTTCTATGAGTGCTAGGGGTCTGTGGTTAAATAAATTAATAATATTTATAAAAATATAGTAAAATTCAACATAGCAGATAAACTTTCCAAAGCAAAGTTGCTGTATCTTAACTGGGCCCATTTGTGAAATTGCCTGAATTGTAAGAAATTAACACTATTGTATTTGATTTTTTTACTATAGCAATCAATGATTAAAATTTTCAGGTTTTGAAAAATGTAGACTTTACCGCATTTATACATTTCTATACGGAACCACTTTAACATAATATCTGAACATCTCCTATTTTGATAAGCCTATTTGAATTCAGGGTGCGATCATGGCAGACATTGGATGGTCTAATGTTTTGCAGAAATAGTGCTAAAAGTATACGTTTTTATTTAACGCGTAGACTAGACTCAGGTGGTGTTTTTTTATCAAAATATTCCCCCTTATTAATAAAAGTTACACCATAGTTGAACCCTGTTTTGAAGTGAAGTTTAGTATGGAAATGACACTTTACAACAGTGTTCAACCACGTTCAACTAGGGTGTAACTTTTTATTAATAAGGGGGTTTGTATTAAATAAAAATTTTCACGGTTTTGATCCCATTAAAGGTATGAGAAGGCATAAAAAAATCTATGTTTAAGTCAAACAACTTCTATAATTATTATAAAATGTATAGTTTTACACATTATTATTAATGTTTTTTTAAGCAAATATTAAACATAGAATGTGTATTTGAACCAAATACAAGTCAAAATCGTAACCGAATACTAGAAAATAATGTGTTTACACCAAATTATAAGTCAAAATTACATCTTACTTAGGCTGAGTTGCACCACCTAACTTTGACCGTAACTTTAACTATAGCCGGTGCTTTTTGTATGGAGTTTGACATATTTTTGACGTTTGTCAAAGTTAAAGTAAGATGGTGCAACCCAGCCTTAGTATGTGAGCTTTACATAACTGTGTGAAAACCTGTAAGTTATTTACACCCTCTCAAATGTTCAATAGTTGCTAGACGATCTCTGCAAGCTTTAAAGAGAAAATTTCAACAGACTTTACCGTCAATTTGTACGAGTTCCCACGATTCCACTTTCACATACTTTGTAACTCGATTATGTAGTTAACACTAGTTAATTCTGTGTACTCCATACTGTAGGTAGAAACTTGCAGAAGCCCCGCAAGGCTGTAAAAATAGCTACATTTTTCGTGGGGCGTTTCTACATTTATTGTCATAATGACAAACTATTTTTAGGGTTCCGTAGCCAAAATGGCAAAAACGGAACCCTTATAGTTTCGTCATGTCCGTCTGTCCGTCTGTCCGTCTGTCCGTCTGTCCGTCTGTCCGTCTGTCCGTCTGTCCGTCTGTCACAGCCGATTTACTCGGAAACTATAAGTACTACAGTGATGAAATTTGATGGGAATATGTGTTGTATGAACCGCTACAAAATTATGACACTAAATAGTAAAAAAAAGAATTGGGGGTGGG